TNCAGNNNGNACAACACCACCATCACCACCAGCATTCCATGTCCCAACAAAAGGCACAATTGCAGGGTCCCCGAGCAGGGTATTTCTCAGATGATCTGCCTCCGCGTTTTGAGAGCCGGCCACCTTCGCAACCATCAGGTAATCAACAGTCGCATCGACCGTTGCAGCAGCATGCAACTCCTCAGCCACGCGTCCAAGAGCAGCATCATTCTCCTGTCTACCGCGGCCTTCATTACCAGGAACGAGAAACTGTTGGCAGATCTGAGCACCCGCAAGAACAAGAGATTCAACGCAGGATCCATGAGCAACATGCTCGCCGGATATCCACAGAGGTGCCACAGCACAGGCCTTATGCTCCCAGTGGCGCACCGCCGATTATGGCGCCAGTACGTTCAAGCTCGGTCTTGAGATCTCCGGAACACCGTCCCTTGCCATACTCGCACTCCCGGCATCCATCGCAAGTTCAGTCACTCAACCAAACTACTGCCGAAGTATTCTCTCCAGGATCCAACGCCAGTCATATCGGGCAACAGCTGCCGCCTCGCTCGACAATCCTTACGCCGCCTGTTAAAGAAGAGCCTAGGAATATGACACCTTCTGCAATTCCTCCAGCTCAGCCTCAACCAATGCTCCATTCGCAACTGCAGCACCCGCAACGCAATCAACCACCTATGCACAACACTCCACCACCCGTTGCACACAAGCCCGCTTCTGAGCCACGCAAGTCGAATCTCATGTCTCTGCTAAATGACACCGATCCAGAAGAGCCTAGACGTAAGAAGCCGAGCGAGCAAGGTCCGCCATCGCATAGCTCTACCCCTCAACAGTCAGCACCAGTCGCTCCTCCTCCGACAACCCAGAGCTATTCGTCATCGTCGAGGCGCTCACTATACGAAGACCCAATTGCCGTGCAGCCCCCTTACAGTCGTTCATCGTATCCTCAGCAATCATCGCTTCCCACCGCGGCATCGAACAGACCAATCGATCTTACGGATGACAAGCCGTCAGCAAGCAGGCCAAGCTTGCGTGAAAGCTGGCAATCTCGACAGCCGTATCACCCAGGGATGAGCCAGACTCCGCAGCTAACTTCTATTCCGTCCTCACAGTCTGGACTGGCTCAGGCACCTCCTGCTAACGAGAGAATGTTCAATCATCGGTCTGTCTTCGCTCAGCACAACACCCCGCGTCAAAATGCAACTCCACCTCCTCTTGCTGGATACAACAGTTCGTCAAATCCGCATTCGCGCGCTTCGAGTATAAGCGGACCCCCAGGATCAATGTCCCGACATGCTATGCCTGGCACAAGTGCAGCACAGCATGTGCAGGCAATGAACACGTCTGCGCAGTCTTCGCAAATTCTGCAACCCAACCCGTACGCTCAGGTGGATCCGCCAGGCAATGGCGGTCCCCCATCTGGCCCAATGGGTATGCGTCCCAGCCCACGTTTGCAGGCAAATCACGCTGTGCAGCAAAGAGAGCCAGCTGGACGCAACGAGCATTCGCAGGCTTCGAACGCAAATATGTCTTATTCCAACCCACAAACGCCGAATGAGCATCATGGACAGCATCCTTTCCAGGGTTTGAACAGACTGACAGAACCGTATCGCCCTCGCGATCCTCGGGACGCTCACGAAATGGACCATCGACAACTATCGGATCGCGACACTAGCCGTGAGCTCTCTCAAAGAGCTGATTACTTGCGCGAACAACATTCCAGCTCTGCGATGCGCTCGACAGGTCCACCAATGCATGAAGACTTGCGCTATCAATCTCAAGATCGAGGCTATCTTGGCCAGAGGTCTCAGACTCAAACTCCACTTTCCAGGTCTGAGCACAGCCAGCCTCCACCTTTGCAACATCCACCTCACTCGTCGCTCGGAGTAGCAAACCACTCATTATACGGCCAACGCCCTCCCCCCGAAGAGCCACCCCACCACTTCATGCGCAACCCCCGCGACCGCAGCATGACGGAGCGTCTCCGAGAAGAGCAAGCCCAAGCCCAGGCCCAGCACCACGCCGCAATGCAAAACCGCGACGAACACATGCGCCGAGAAGCCGAGCGAGACATGCGCGAACGCGATATGAGAGAACGCGACATGCGCGAACGCGAAGCCCGTGATTCGCACCACCACCATCGAGACAGCTTCATCAGAGCTAGTCATGCCAGAGGTGTGCCTCCTCCTCCCCCACCAGCTGGTGCTGGTTCGGCACCCGGATCGCTACCCGATCAACGATTGCCTCCTACGGGCGATTGGGTCACGGGTGTGCCTAGACATCCTGGGGACCGTGGACCGTGGCAGCGGTAGGTAGCAGTGGTAGATGGGGGGTGGGTAGAGATTGAATGATTTGATAATGAAGGGATGCCGTGTGTGTGTGTGCAATGCCTCGCCTTTTTTCTCCTCTTCTTCTTCTTCTTGTTCTTGTTCTTGTTCAAATGGGAGGAATGACAAACTTTTGTTGTTGTTATTGTTGTTGTTGTTGTTGTTGTTGTTGTTGTTGTTGTTTGGTTCGGTTTAGTTTGAAGAATAGCCTATGTTTCGACGTTTTATACTTTATCTTATTTTTATTTTTTTATCTTTTTTTCACTTTTTGTGTGCGTGTGTATTTTGTGCTCTTCTGTGTCTCTTCCCCCCCCCTCCCTCTGTTCTCCGTTCTCATCATTCCGTTCTCTCTTCGTCGTCGTCGTCGCTGTCATCGTCATCTTCTTTTCGATAAGGAAATCTTTTTTTTTCGCATGTTCTTTTTTCGTATACATGTGCGGAAAAAAATCGCTTTGTTTTTTTGGTAGATGAAGAAATATTGATTTATTTATTTATTTTTCTATTTTACATGCAATATATATATATGTCAATTTGTATTCATTCACTGTTTGTTTTTGTTTTTCGGGGTTTTTTTTCGCGAAGATTGTTACGAAAAGGAGGGGGAAAGGTGTGTTGGGGGGAGGGAGGGAGACCTTTTGATATCAAGTGGTGGGGAAAAAAAGGGAAAGGGAAAGGGAAAGGGAGGGAGGGGGGTTTTGGGTAAAAAGATTGTTGTTTTGAGCGAAGAAATACGACGGTTATATAGTTTGATGTGGCAATAGAAAGTATCTCTTTCTCTCTCTCTCTCTTTTAGCCGACATGATATATATTTCATAGAGAGACAGAAAGAGGGAGGGAGAGAAATTCTTTCCTCGCATTGAAAAACACTATTTGTTGTTTTTGGATTGAAATTTTTTTGGTACCATCTTTCTTTCTCTATAGCCTAATATTTGCGTACTGAATACGACAGCCATTGTCTACTTTTTATCTGTCTTACTACAAACGCTTCTGTCTGTGGTCCTAAAATTCTAATCGTACAAGCGAAGAAAGAAAAAAAAACTTTCGCAATGAAAATAAAATAAACGTGGAGGTTTTTTGGTACAAAGATGGTGGTGAGGAACGTAACGTTCTACTCTCTCTACATGCCATGGGCGTGGAGCCAACATCTACTTTTTTTCTTTGAAAAGAATGTGCAGCAGGCGGCGGGAGATGGTCTTACAAGTTGGTGGAAACTACGTAAATGTATGACCAGATTTGATAATTTGTGGGGGGTTTTCTTGTTGTGCTTTCCTCACTCCTGCTGCGACATGTGTGTTGGGAAGTTGTAGTCTGTGTAGTCGATGTGGACGAATGCACGGTCGACATAGGGTACACTCTCTGTGGACTTTGTTAGAACATATTCACATGTCATGGTACAGGATAGGGGGAGAAACTTACCAAGAACGTACTGCAGACTCTCACCCAGATCGTGGCTATCCCTCAGGCTGAGGTTCTCATCAACGACAATGTCGACCTCGACGTTCAGCTTGTCACCGGCATGGTATGCCTGGAGACCCTGAATCCGCTTAATGCTCTTAGCGAAGCGCATAGTCATGTAGAGTAGGATGTTCCTCTCGTCAGCGGTCGCACTCGCACCAGTCAAGTTACGGACGTGCTCTGCAGATGTGGCACCCCAGTTGATAATGACGTAGGCAGAGAGCAAGATACCGCCGAGAGCATCGAGCCACCAGATCTTAGCAAAGTAGCCGACGAGCGGGAAGAAGATGGAAAAGGTGTTGAAGACAACATCGGTCATGGCGTCTTGGGCCAAGGCTTGTACACTGGAGTTGCGGATGAGGCGGCACCAGACCCAGCAGAGACCCTTGATTATGACGGTGGAGGCCATGATGGCAACGGCTGGAACACCCAGTTCGACGATCGTGCGGTCGGGACCGGTAAGTCGCGAGATACCTTCGATACCGACCTGGAAGAAGGAGGTCATCATGATGACGGAGAAGATCAAAACACCAATGGGCTCGAGTCGCCTGCGGCCAACGGGGTATGCGTAGCGATCCTGACGTGCAATCATCCAGGAAGTAAACCACACGATGGCGGTAGAGAGAAAGTCGAGCGCGGCGTCGACCAAGCTGGCGACGACGGAAAGCGAAGATGTCATGATTGTGACGACAATCTTCAAGATCAGCAAGGCCGTGTTTGCGCTGAGATTGACGTAGAGAGCCAGTTTGACAATGGGACTTTCGGTGTCTTCGTCTTCTTCCGGGACCCAGTCCATGAGCTTTGACTTAGCTGCTTCAAGGTCGTCCTCGTCGTGAATAGCATTTTCGTTTGCCAGTAGCGGCGTGTTCTCGTCAATCTCGGGGACTTTGTAGAGGTTCTTTGGTGTGCGCTTGACCATGGGCTTCTGCGCGCCGTTGCCATTGCCATTGAGACTGCCTGATGAACCAGTTCTACCCCCACTGGAGAGCCCAGGAGTGGTTGTACCGGAGCTGCGGCCGTCGAGGGCTGGCGTTCCTATAGACGAGGATTCCTCTGTGATTGTGGTGGGAATCTTGACCGCGCCCGATTCCAGGTTTGTGTACTCCTGGATGAGGTTGTGCGGCAGTGAAGAGTCGAGAAGACGGTCGATGTACATGTAGTTCTGGATGAGCTGGTTGTTGCGCTCGTAGTATTCACGGATCGGCTTCTTCATGCCCTTGAGGTCTTCTTCATGCTTGTAGTATTTCTCCCACTTGTACCTGGGATTGGAGTTTCCAATCAGCCGTTGACTTCGCATTTGTGGTGTATTGAGAATGTGTGCACCGATGCTACTCCTCCGGTCAGAATCGCGGTCATAAGCCATCATAAGTCCGTGTCTGTATGCTTCGATATCCTCGTCCTCAGTTTCGCTGCCGCGACGCTCGGTGCTGCGTATGGTTGACGGCCGGCGCGTGCTGTTTAGTAGCGAGGGCAGGTGGTGACCGCGCGTAGTAATGGCAGAGGTCTCGTTCTGGGGAGAGAAGAGCTTCGAGTTGGCAAGACGGGGCACACTTGATGAGCGAGGGATCGTCGCCGTGGAAGGCGACGGGGGTGGTGGTGTTGAGGGATAGTCAGTCATGGCGGTAATGGAGATGAAGAAATTGCGCAGACGCGACGATTTGGGTTCAGGTTGGGTGGAAGAGATGGCCAATGTCTTGAGATGATGTTTGTGCGCGTCAACGCGGCAGAGGCAAGACAGGCGTGGGGGGGGGGGTGGAAGTTGGTTGTCGCGGTGGCGCAGGGCAACAGCGAGAGTGATTGGGATCAGTGGAGACGCTGGATGGCAGTCATATGTAGGAAAATGCGCAGATTAGTCGACGAGTGTGCAGATGCAGAGCGATATGCAGGCGGAGTGATGTTGCAGCGGAATCGTTCAGGCCTGAGGTGCAGAGGGCGCCGGAGACCGCAATACGGCCGTGGACGCGGCAGAATGCGACGAGGAGGTTCGCCGAAACAAGAGGGTCTTTCGTCCAGGGCGGGATCGCCATGGCCTCGCTCCGCCAACTCCTGCAGATGCACCCACTTTGGCTGTGGCCAGAGCTCGTGCTGCTGAATCTGGGGTGTACCAGCCGAGATCGCCATTGGTTTCTGACAAAAGATTCGTCGCATGTGTTTCACGCAGTCCCGTCTGGGAGCTCGCGAACAAAAAATCTCACCTGTGCTTCTTGGCGTTATAGGTTGGTGGACACGGCTCTGCCCGGTCGCTATACGCAAGGTCCACTCTGACCGGACTAATCTACAGCTGCATACCCTGAAGTCCGCACCTTCGAGGTTTCACGCTCCCCCCCAACCACCTTGGCCAGGCATAGTGCAGGCGCTATATGAAACAGGGTCTGGACATGGCAGGCAATGTGCGCCATACTTACCTTACCCTGCTCTTATTCCCCCGATGCTCTTCTCCGTGCCCCGAATCCGCTCGCCTCTGTCTGCCCCGTACTCCCCCACCGATCCCTCATAACACCTACTTACAGAACAGCCGTTCCAGGCCCACCAATTACCAATTCCATACCCATTCCGCCTCAAACCATCGTGGCCAGTTATTGGCTCATGGCTCAACGGATGCCCGGCCGGACTGCTCACTGCTCAGTCGACTGGCAAGCCTGACTCGTCAAGACGTCTTGTCTACGTGCGGCGATAGATACATAAAGTTGTGTGTGTAAGCTGTCACAAAAGTGTGGCTCTTGCTAAGCGAGTCTTCTGAGAAGCTTGGCAATAAGACTATTTAATGAGCTGGTCAACCTCAGGATAGGACATGGCATTGAGCTGAGCATTCTTCGTTGTTGACGGTATAAGATCAAGTCGGTCGACATGGTCTTCTATCTCTTCTGGGATACGAATCCTGTCCACATGCAGTGAACCAGTACAAGTGTTCGTAATGCTGAATGGGAATTGTCGAACTGAGAAGTGAATCCTGCCGTGGCCGTAATCCTCAAGTTACGTACATTCCTAGTAGACAGAAGAAGGAGAAGGTTGACAACGGGTTACGGCACATCTCATTCGGTCTGCTCCCTGATGAGACAATCCACTCAGCTGCTTGTGAAGAAACATAGCGTTCGTGGGCCAAAAGGGTGGTTCCATGTCCGTATGTGCCCTGAGATATTAGGACGTTATGACGCTGCAATTCTAACCCGAGGACATGTGCAGTGCACAACGCGTTGTCGTATAGGAGTGTATAAGAAGGTTGAGGTGGGGGCTTTGGGGCAGCCGCACTAGCACCACCAAAGTTCCCAATGCGGTCTAGCACCTCTGACTGCTTGGCAGCGCACCATGGAACTCGGCTAACAGCCTGAAATTCGCTTTTCCACGACAACGACAACTTCTTCGACATCCGACTACTCACAACAAGCAGTCAAGATGCCGGTATGATATCATCTCCTACGGTCGTGCCGCCATGTAGGAACCCCTATTGACGATTTTTGTAGAGCCAAAAGTCATTCCGCACCAAGCAGAAGCTTGCCAAAGCGCAGAAGCAGAACCGCCCCATCCCTCAGTGGATTCGCCTGAGGACCGGCAACACCATCAGGTACGACTTACTCGCAGCATCCTCGGAGGCTTGTGTGTCTCTCAGAGCCGCATGTAATGCCACAAGAAATGCTGGTCACGGCCGTGAGAACTCGGACTGACATTGCCCCCCAAGGTACAACGCCAAGCGACGACACTGGCGCAAGACCCGTCTCGGTATCTAAGCGGATCGCCCTCTTCAAGTCATCCCTCACTCGATTTCCGATTTCCAGCCACCTCTTTCGACGACGACGACAAGGACTGTACGAAACGAGCGATCATATTGGGAATTTCGCACATGGCGGGAACCGAGCGACCAGTCTTCTAAGCGAAGTACATCTGCAATACGAGGGATGCAGTGGGCGGTACTCTTTTCACGTTACCGGATACCTCCCTACCTCTGATTCACGGCGCTTTGGGTCTGTAAATGGGCATGAAAGGAATCGATTCATGATGGTTAGACTAGGCAGTGATGAATGAAACCACTTGCTGGGTCGCAATGAACAACGAATGGTGTTTTGATTGTGTGATGCAAGTCGCTCGCAGTTGTCATGTCGTGGGATTAATATTCAGAACCGCTCTCATGGCATTGTACTCCAGAACACGTGAACCGAGAAAGGAACCCACTCGGATCCCAACAAGCAGGATGTGGCCACTCGGACGGCAACGATACTGCAAAGTTCAAATGATTGGCATTATGTATTGCATTAGTCATATAGACCAACGACACTTGTGACGCACTTGGGAACATAAAACTTTGCAGGCTTTCCCGCCTCAACCATTACTTCTACAACATCCCGAACAAGTTGACCTTCTACATCTGAGTTGCTAACCCACACGCTAAACTACCTCATGGAAAACTGTATATACAGTTTACTCAAGAGCGTATCTGGCTTGGCTGGGCTTGGCTGAAGCCAAGTACCGCCACATGAAGCCACGCCACGCCACGAGAACCAGACATCAGCCGCTTTCTATCCCCCTTACCGCCCACTTCTCACCTGAAACTTGGGACGATCCGCCAGATCCACGACCAAACAGGTCTCCTCGCTCTTTCCCGCCGTGTTGTAGAGACTGACTACGCCCTTATCGATACGCAAGACGGTACTACTTCCCGCATAGCAAAGCCCCTTCTCCATTCCACATCGATTTGCCAAAATGACGCAAACTGGCCTGCCGCCTTTGTCCTCGACGAGAGGCTGGAATCTCTCAACCCAATATGCCACAGTCGCTACATCCGGTTGCGATGGGTCCGTTGCAAGTTCAGTCGGTGAGAGATGACACAGCCAAGCCATTGAGACGCAGATGATGGGCGACTGGAAAGACAGTGCTTTTGAAGCAAATTCGTAGTCTGTCCATGGAGCGATGAACTTGTACGGATTGATATCCATACATATGCCCAGGGTGACATTTCCCAGCTCTCCCAGCTCACCGGCGAAGAAGGGTGAGTCTGAGGATGCAGGGTTGGAGAGGTGATGGGATTCTGAGCCTGGGCCCTCGGACGCCCATGTTTCGTCTGTGTAGTAGAGGAAGGATTTGCGGTAGTTGTTTATTACCTCTCCAGATGGCGACACGGTCACTATCGAGTTGTATTGCGTCTGCACATCCGCCGGGTTTCTAGAGGGTACCGTGATTTCTGGGTATCCGACCGTAACATGGCAGTTGTAGTGCTTTGCGGTCTGTTGGGCCCACTGGGTGGATATGCCCGCGGTTGTGGGCTCCAGGAAGGGCTTAATTTCCTCGAGCGAATGGAAGTTGTAGCCGGAGAAGGCGAGTTCCGGGAGGATAAGCCAGGCCAAGTCGGCAGGTATTTGGGTGGCTTTTAATATGCTGTCGGCGCGCTGGATATTGTCTTGCAACTTGCCTACCTCCGGGGCAAACTGAAGGCACGCAACTTTCATATTTCCGGTTCCGTTGGTGCTGTTCTGCTTGGGGGCGAGGATTGGTAAGGTGTTGCTGAGAGGTGAAAGGGCGGGATATGAGAGCAGGTGGCGAGAGCGTTTTAGACACACCCTAAGAAGAGGGTGTTTGATTCACTAGCCGTCTAAAGCGATGTATTGGTCGGCCTAGGAAGGCCTTGGTCAATTGCTGAAGAACCAATCCGTGTACACAAAGGCAGCGGGTAGCAATTGTCCAGATACCGATGGCATGTACATGAGTAATACGCTCGCTCGCTTGGCAGTCTAGAGCGTCAGATGACCTAGACAGATGGTACCGATAAGCGCATGCTCTGTTCCTTCCAAATAAGCTCAGCGAGGAGTGCAGTTCTGCTTGTGGGTTGTGGAAGAGGCCCTTGGTGAACACGAAGGGGGCCAGCTTGTCTTGCCCCACTAGGGTTGATCGACAAGGCACGCTCGTCGCTAACTCAGGCCAAAGCCAGCCAAAGCCAGCCAATCGCGCAATTTGCGCCCTGGGGGAACATCGCTTGTGGCAGCTATGACGCGCATAGCTAAAGTGCCGTCTACTATGAACCTATCCACAAACACCACCACTACCATTACCATTGCCATTCACAAGCTGCCCACGTGCATCAAAGCCATGCAGATTGCAAGCCGGTAGCCCATCTGCATCTGATCGCAATGGCAGGAAGACGGTTCGTCGACGCCGCCAAGCTCTTCAATGCCTCGAGAGGCGTCGCCCAGAAGCACATTGCACTTCGATCCAACCAGTGGGATGCTTACACGAAGACATCGTCGCTAGCAAAAGCAGTCAAGAGCCAGACCGACCGCGTTACTCTCACGGCAGCCGCTGCCATCGCCCTCTCTCAACGCTTCAGCGAAGAAGCACCTTCGTACGCAAAAGCCGCGGCCGATCGAGCGACAGGCGGACAATGGACACGGCAGACATGGAAGTCAGAGCAGTCGAAGTCTGGGGATATTCCAAGAAGGGAAACAGTCAGTAAGGATCAGACGCCAACAGGAAATGTAAAAGAGGGCGTGGAACAGGATCATCACTATGATCGCTCCACGCAGAACACGGTCAACACACCACCACCACCTACAGAGGAATTGGAAGTGGAGCAGCGGGAAGCACCAAGGTCACCGCTGCCCGATGGTACCATCCCAAGCAATGGATTGACCCTGGAGCAGGAGGATAAGGGAAAGGATGTTTTCTCGGAAAGGGCGGTGCCTGAGACGCCAAAGGATCCTCTAGTGCAGGATCAGAATGAGCAGGCAAAGAAAGAGGATGAGGATCTGAAGCCAGTGGAGTCTACAGATACTACTATACCGTTACCTGGAAAACCGAAGGGTGAATCTACACCAACAGACAAGTTTCAAAAGACCACCACACCGGGACAAGTCGAAGATGATATACCAGAAGGCATAAATACGGATGTGTTTCATTCCAAGCGCGTCGCGAGGATGCTTGGAAGTGACCCTTTTTCACGGAAAGAGTATGCAGAGCGGAAGAGCGGCGGCAGGCATCCACTTGATGATCGACCCATGGTTAGACATCCACTTGACGATCGACCCATGGGTAGACATCCGCTTGACGATAGGCCTTTGACATCACCACAGAAGCCAATTTCACCAGCGTCACAACCGAAACTGTCTCAGGCACCGCAATCAGAGACCACCTCCAAAGAGATGGAACAGCTTGCGTCTCAACTTGCTCAAGATGCTCAGGCAAACGCAGCTGCATCTGAGGTATGTCAAACCTACTCATTGGCCTGAAGTATACTGATTTACTGACAGTCATACCGTAGTCAACCAGCGAGATAGCAGCAAAACCAGAGAAGGCAGCGTACACGCTACGAGAATCAAGAGTCCCGTCATCACGATTTGGCCGCATATGGCAATATGCCGGGTTGGGCACTAGCATGGCACTCGGAGCTGTAGGCGAAGGCCTTCGACGTGCAACTGGTAGTGCTGCATCAACCACCGGCTCCCTCATGTTGAGTGAGCGAAATCTTGAGATTCTGGTGGCGAAGTTGTCACGCATGCGAGGCGCTGCCCTTAAGCTTGGCCAGATGATCAGCTTCCAGGACCTCAAGATGCTTCCACCTGCGATTCACGATGTACTGCAGAGAGTTCAGGATAGTGCCGACTATATGCCAGCCTCACAAAGAAACAAAGTATTAAGCAGCAACCTTGGCGATAACTGGCGCGACCTTTTTGAGTCATTTGAAGACGTTCCTATAGCTGCAGCTTCGATTGGCCAAGTGCATAGAGCAGTACTCAAGTCCACTGGGCAGACAGTGGCTGTCAAGGTGCAATACCCTGGCGTTGCCAACTCTATCGACTCGGACCTCAGCAACCTCTCCATTCTCCTAACAGCATCACGTCTCCTACCCAAGGGTCTTTATCTTGACAAGACCATTGCAAACGCACGCACTGAACTCGGCTGGGAGTGTAATTACACACGCGAAGCAGAATGCCAAACTCGCTTCCGTGAATTTCTCCAAGACGACACAGACGTCTTTACCGTTCCCAAAGTCTTCGCCGAAGCCAGCGGCCCTACCGTCCTCACCGCCGAGTTCATGCAAGGCGTAGGTGTCACTAAGCTCAAAACCCTCACTCAAGACCAGCGCGATTGGATCGGCACCCAAATCCTGCGTCTCTGCCTCCGCGAAGTCGTAGAATTCAAATTCATGCAAACCGACCCCAACTGGACAAACTTCCTGTACAACCCCAAAGCACATAAAATCGAACTCCTAGACTTTGGCGCAAGCAGAGATTATCCGGACGAATTCGTTGAACCATACATTCAGGTCCTCATCGCCGCCTCCAAAGGCGATAGAGATGCAGTCCGCGATTTCTCACTCCAGCTGGGTTATCTAACCGGAAACGAGAGCCCCACCATGCTCGATGCGCATATCCAGAGCGTACTCACCCTCGCCGAACCATTTAGCACATCTGGTCCTGCAGTGTATGATTTCAGAGATCAGACTATTACGGATCGCGTGCGTAGCTTCATTCCCGTCATGGTGAATGAGAGATTGGCGCCTCCGCCCGAGGAAACGTATAGTTTGCATAGGAAGCTCAGTGGAGCGTTTTTGCTGTGTGCGAGGTTGGGTTCGCGAGTCCCATGTAAGGAGCTTTTTGAGAGGGCGGTGGGGACGTGGGAGGCGAGGAAGAAGAAGGCTTGAAGTGTTATGATGTCAAACCAAAAAAAATGTGGGATTTTGTATGAGTAGATATTTTATGTATTTGTATCTTGTACATCTCCCCCCCCATAGAGTAAAATAAACATCTTCTCAATACTTCCTTCAACAACAACAACAACAACAACAACAACAACAATATCATCATCATCATCATCACCACCATCATCATCATCATCATGAATTCATTTCCCATCACAAAGTCCAATCGAATCCCCCCCCTCTTCTTCTTCTTCCTTCCTCTAACATGTGATTCGACACTAAAGAGAGAGACAGAAGAAGAAGAATTAAAAAAAAAGTAACCCAAACCATCGCAATCTCAACTTCTCCATCCCAAGCCTCCTAAGCCTCCTTCTCGCTTGTGGCGTACCTACACAGACCACCACAAAGCTCTTTTTTTTCGTTCCTCCCTTCCCGGAATAAACAAAGCACAAGCACAAGCATAAGCATAAGCATAAGTACAAGGGAACCTATAAGAAACATCTTTGCAAAAGAGCCAAAAAAAATAAGCGAGGAAGAATGGAGGTTGTGTGTGTGGGGGGTGTTGGTGCGGTGTATGCTCCGAGGGGTTGTGGGTGTTGCCATGTTAGTTAAGTGGGGCCCTTGGGGAGAGAAGGGGGAGGAGGATGAAAGGAAAACAAGAGTTGTGGCGGCCATGCCTTCCCCCCCCCCCACGCCATTTGCCGTGCTAGTATGTGGGTTACTTTGGTATGGGAAAGAAAAGAGAGAGCGTGGATGTGGGTGTGGGTGTGTGGGTTGACCGACCAACCGACCGTTTATTTTCTTGTTTGGGCTTGGGGAGAGAGAGAGAGAGAGAAAGAGAAGAAGAAAAAAGACAAAGGAAGAAAGACGAGGGATTGGGCGCGTGTGTGTGTGTGTGTGTGTGTGTGTGTGTGTGTGTGTAAAAGTGAATTTTCGAGAAGGAAAAAAAAACTA